AGGGGGACGTCGTCCATGTAGAGGGGCACGATATGCTCGTCGACTTCATCCCGGATAGCCCGGCGTAGCGCCCTGCCCCGCGCTGAGCGACCGTGTTGCCGCGAGGCCGCCGTGGAGGACCGCCCGCATGCCGCGCGCGCGCGCGCGCGCTGCCGCCCCGCCGCGCCGCGCTGCGCAGCCGCCGCCCGGTGCCGGGTTGCGTGCAGCGGAAGGCGCGTCCTGGGACAGAAGCTAACGACCTACAGCAGAAGTAAACACTTAATTTACCGTTACCCACCCCAACCTTGCAAACGCGCGGCAACGCGCGCTCGTCTTCTCCCTCGCGGCCTCGCCCTTCCCGCGCGCGCAAGGGGCGCATCCTCGATGCCGCGCCACGTCAGCATAACATGACGGGGGCTCGTTGCCGTTCTAGAAACGCCGGGCGGATTCAGAACATATGGCACCATATGGCGCGCGGAAACGCTCGTTTTTACCGAACAGTTCATCGCATGCAAAGAAGCGTGGACACCGGGCGGGCCCCACTCAGTCAACTCCCTGTCGTGCCCACCGTCAGGCGAAGACGCCCCCCACGATACCAACCCCAGCCTCCACTCCCCGCCGTCGTTCCCCTACCCGACAGCCCCCCCAGCGTCTCCGCACCACGCCGCACCCCGCCACCATGCCGCCTAACGCAACCGCCGATAAGTTCTCCGTGCTGCTGCCCACGTACAATGAGCGCGAAAACCTGCCGTACATGATCTACTTTCTGGACGCCGCATTCGCCTCCATCGACGCCGACTACGAAATCATCATCGTCGACGACGCCTCCCCCGACGGCACGCAGGCCGTGGCCCGCGCGCTGCAGGCAGACTTCGGCCCGCGCAAGGTCGTGCTCGCCCCGCGTCCCAGCCGCCAGGGACTCGGCTCGGCCTACATGCATGGCATCAAGCACGCCACCGGCAACTTTGTCCTCATCTTGGACGCCGACATGTCGCACCACCCAAAGTTTATTCCGCAGTTTGTGAAGATGCAGCGGGAGACTGGCTGCGACATTGTTACGGGCACCCGCTACGTCAGCGAGGGCGGGGTGCACGGGTGGACGCTGAGGAGAAAGCTTGTCTCCCGCGTCGCAAACTATCTCGCACATGTCATGTTGCAGCCCGGCGTGTCGGATTTGACAGGCAGCTTTCGCCTGTATAGGAGGGACTGCTTTGAGAGTATTATGCAAAAGATGGAGGCCCGTGGGTATGTGTTCCAGATGGAGATCATTGTAAGGGCGAGGAAGATGGGCTACAGTATTAAGGAAGTCCCCATTACCTTTGTTGATAGGTTGTTTGGGGAGTCCAAGATGGGGACGAGTGAGATTGCCCAGTATTTGGCTCAGCTGTGGAAACTTGTGTGGGTATGAGAACGCTGCGCTGGCTGCGCTTGTAATGCTCCTTGGTCACCACAATGCTCACCAAAGTCCTGCGCTGGACAGCGTTTGCGGAGAATCACTAATTTACTAGAGGACGCTAACTTGTACGGTACCCCTAACAGTTGCTCCGTCTCGCTCCGGCTTGTATAAAGGAGACCGTGCCACAGTGTAGAAGCACTTTGGGTTTGCGGCAACAATATTGTACCAAAATGACGACAAATCCTCACGACTCACCTTCGCTTTCCCAGGCGTCCCCGTCAAACACCAGTCCCACCACCGCGACAGTCCCACAACAACAACTCGGTCTGGGCGAGTGCTGCTCATGGGTCGACCAGCAGAAGGCAATTGCACAACTTCTACCAAACGTAGCAGCGCGGTCACCGCTCAACTCTCGTTTGCTACTGGCGCAGTTTGATGCGCATTCCATCACTGTGTATCAGGCGTACAAGCCCTCAATCAGCCGACAGGCCGTGGCGACAGAAACCTTTTGCGACTCTGACTTCAGCTTTTCGCGCATGACTTGGATCAAACCAAACTTTAGCTGGATGATGTACCGCTCCGGATGGGCCTCGAAGCGCAACCAGGAAACGATTCTGGCCATCAGGCTTACTCGCACTTACTTTGACCAACTTCTCCAACAGGCCGTATCATCCAGTTGGGACGGAGCTTCATATGGCTCCCGGGAAGAATGGCACAAGGCTCTTAGGGCCTCCAAGGTCGTCGTGCAGTGGGATCCGGATCACCATCTCGTCACAGGGGCCAAACTACCTTACCGTGTTATACAGTTGGGTATCCGTGCGGGTGCCCTCGAAGGGTTCCGCGGTTTCGGCATTGTCTCGATCACCGACATTACAACGCAAGCTAAAGCTATGCAACAGGATATCTCGACGGCATCCGGTTTGCGAGACGCGCAGACGCCGTGGGAGAAACGCTACCCTATATCAGGGTCCATGAAAGCGACTCTAGGGATACAAAACGGAACGCTGTAATCCATTCGATGGCGGCAGTTTCATACTCTTTTATGCCGAATCTTCTGCTCTGGCCGCCACTCGTGGCTTCCTTTGCATGCTCATTTTCTCGAGATGAATCTTGAGAACGGTGATGTCCGCGGGATTCACACCTCCCATACGAAATGCCTGTCCAAGCGTCTCTGGACGCAGCTTGGAGAGTTTCTCTCTGGCTTCCAGACGCAACCCATAAATGCTGTTGTAATCGAGCTTTGCTTCAATTTTCTTCGACATAGTCTTTGCAGCTTTTTTTACCTCCTCGGCCTGGCGACGGATATAGCCCTCGTATTTCAACTCGGTTTCAACCTGCTCACGTTCAAACGTATTCGCGAGTGTGCCCCCCACCCCGGCCTCATCCAAATTCTGGTAATGTACGCCTGGCTGGCGCAGGAGGTCTGCCAGAGAAGAACTCTCGCGCACCGTTGCCCGACACTTTTCTCGCAGGATAACTGCAGCGTCACTTCTTCCTGATATTCGTGAGCTCCGCAGACGAGCAAGTTCGTTCTTGAGCCGTTCCGACTTCTCCGTGTGCAAACCCCACCGCGCCTCATCTATCATTCCCAGGGATCTCGCAAGAGGGGTCAACCTGGCATCGGCGTTATCTGCGCGTAGCATCAAGCGGTATTCAGACCGAGAAGTAAGAACGCGATACGGCTCCAACAATTCCTTAGTGCATAAATCGTCAACCATTGTCCCAATAAAGGAGCTCTCTCGAGTCAACGACATCATATCTTCGCCTGCTGCCGCTCTCGAGGCATTGATACCCGCCAGCAACCCCTGCGCTGCAGCCTCTTCATAACCCGTCGTCCCACAAACCTGGCCCGCTAGAAACAAGCCATCGCACTTTTTAGACATCATGGTCGAATGCAACTGCGTCGCAGGCACGTAGTCATAGTCCACCGAGTAGGCTGGCCGGATCATTTTTGCCTTCTCCATACCCGGAATAGTCCGCAACACGGCGAGTTGGATGTCCTCAGGCAAACCGGTACTAAAGCCCTGAATGTATAGCTCAGGGATGGTCCTTCCTTCGGGTTCAATAAATATCTGGTGGGACCCGCGCTCCGCAAATCGCACAATCTTGTCTTCTATGCTCGGACAATATCTCGGGCCTGTTGACTCCATAAAGCCACCATACTTGGGTGTGCGATGGAGGTTGGCGCGAATCATTTTGTGCGTCGCCTCGGTCGTTCTCGTGAGATAGCACGACATTGTTTCTCGGGGCGTCCATTCTGAAGGATCAAAGCTAAACCAGTGGTCATCCGGGTCCGACCCTTGTGGCTCCATGACAGAATAATCCACCGTTCTCGAGTCTACACGGGGTGGAGTCCCCGTCTTGAGCCTACCCGTTTCAAAGCCAAGGTCCTGCAAAGTCTCTGTGAGTCCAAATGCCGCCAGCTCACCCGACCTTCCAGCCGGCATGGACTTTGCTCCAACCCAAATGGTGCCGCCCAAAAACGTGCCAGTCGTCAAAATAACAGTCTTGGACCTGAACGCCGAGCCGAAGTAGGTCGTGACACCAACGACCTCGTCATTTGCACCGACAACCAAGTCGTGCACCATGCCCTCGCGAATGTCGAGATTGCCCCCTGCTTCCTGAGCCCTCTCGTTCAAAATGCGGGTCATTTCCTGCGAGTACTCGCGCTTGTCCGTCTGGGCGCGCAGGGCCCACACGGCGGGCCCTTTGGAGCGGTTAAGCACGCGACGCTGCAGGTAGGTACGGTCGGCGACTTTTCCGATCCAGCCCCCCATGGCATCGACTTCGTGGACCAAAGTGGACTTGGCGGGGCCCCCGACGGCGGGGTTGCACGGTTGCCACGCGATGCGGTCCAGGTTGAGCGTGAGCAGGAGAGTGCGGGCGCCGCGGAAGGAAGACGCCATGGCGGCCTCGCAGCCGGCGTGACCGGCTCCGACAACGACGACGTCGTAGGTTTGATCGTCCCACATTATCGACTCGTCGCATTTGGAGAGCTGGACCATTGACGGGGAAGGTGGTCCTGGCGTATGCTGGTGTCTCCGTGGGCCATTGCGACGTCGTTTCAAAGGCACACACGTAACTCTTGGCGTCCAAGGGGCCTTCTGCGTGGTGCGCATAGAAAGTTTGGATGGCAAAGGAACTGGAGGAAGAAACGCCGTAATGCGTTTCATTTGTGTGGGTTTGGTGGCAAGACGAGTCCAAGCCCTTCCTATGCTAGTGCAGGCTGCTCGAAAACAAGGGCAGCTTTCTGTCGTCCGGGTTGGAAGTGACAAGATTGTCAGGTAGAGCGGTTGATTTGCTGTGGTAGCGTCGTTGACAGAGTGAGAAATATATTGAGCTAGAGATACACGTGGGGGAGGATGGAGATCAAAGATGTCAAAATGTACACGGTTCCGTACATGAATTTTGATTCTGCGCCTTTGGAAGGGTGCTCAGTACAGATTCACACAGCACGTTATTCGAGGTCATGGAAGTGACAAAAGCAAAACGGCCGGCCAAGAACATGACCCTTTAAGAAGTGAACACTCACTCGTTGATTTGCAGCGCCAAGACCTTTACTATATAGATTTGCAAAACGCCTAGAGCTCCAGAGAGGACCAGGCTACCGCCACACAGTCGTCGGTCTATCCGAGAGCGGCACCAACTCGGGCGTCTCCAGTTCCTTCTCAAACAGAAACCTTGTCATTTCCACAAACTCTGGTGGCGGCACCTCCTCTGCCCTCTTCCGCGCCCACTTGTCCGGCAACTGCACGCCCTTCTCCTCGCACAGCGTCCTGAGCGAATTGCGGAGAACCTTCCTCCTCTGGTTGAACGCGGTCCTAACAACAGTGCGCAACCCCCTCGTCAGCGTGGTATTCCTCACATCCAAGCACTCGTCCAGCTGAAACTCAAACTGCACCAGCGCCGACGTCACGTCCGGCTGCGGATAAAACACCGTATTCGGCACCTTGAACAGCATCCTCGGCTTGGCGTACAGCTGCGCTACCACGGACAAAATCCCGTACGCCTTCGTCCTCGTCTTGGCGGCGATGCGCTCGGCCACCTCCTTCTGCATCATAACGACCGCCACCCCGATGGTGCCGCTGGGCGCCTCGAGCAGCGAGAACAGGATCTGCGACACGATATTATACGGCAAGTTGCCAATAACCGCGAGCGGCTTCGCCACCTCGGCCGCCACGCCGGGCCAGTCCGTCTCCAGCACGTCGCCGTGCCGCACGGCGAGGCCGTCAAAGTTCTCGTGCAGGTACTGCACTGCGCGGCGGTCGATCTCGATCGCGAGCATGTCCGGGTAGCGCTCGACCAGCCGCGTGGTCAACGCGCCGAGCCCCGGCCCGACCTCGACCACGTGCGCGTCCGGGCAGAGCTCGTCCACGGCCGCGCCGAACGACTGCACAATGCGCGAGACCATGTTGCCGTCGCGCAGGAAGTTCTGCCCCAGGCTCTGCTTCGGACGGATGCCCGACGTGCGGAAACCCGACCACGCCTGCGCGTCCCCCTCCGTGCCGTAGCTCGCAGACGGCGCTTGGCGCCGCGTGCCGTGGCGCCGGCGTGGCGCGGCTGGCCGGCGGCAGGTGGGCAGCGCGCGTTGATGCAGCAGGGAGGAGGAAAGCGGCGGGCGCACGGCTAGCTGGAAGGCCAGACGCGAGACGGCGGTCATGGTGGAGGAGGGGATTGTGCTCGGGGTGGGTCGCTCACATGTCGTTGACATTTCTGGTTGTGCCGCTTCGACGGAGACGACGGTCGGTGACGGGGAGTGGGAGATTGTTTTCGAGGTTGTCAATTGGAAGAAAGTGGATTTGAAATCGTGATTTCCCCATAGCAAAAAAAGGGACACAGAAACGCGCTCGACCTTGCTAACTGTCTTTTCTTTGTTCGGTACATGTATACATATGTAGATTTACTAGACTTTGCGGCTACGCCAAGGGAGAGAGGTACAGGCGCGGAAGCCAGTCAAGTCTACGGGGATATCTACTGGAGGGGCTTAGCCCACGCGCACGACACAGCGGAGAGAAATGCGTCTCCGACGGAGGGCGTCTGCAAGATAGTGAGAGTCTCCTGAATGGCAATGAGTTCAAAAGTGCGGGTAAGTGCTGTAAACTCCGCGCCGCCCAACTCGACCATGACGTCCAAGTCGACGATCTCATGTAAGACCTCTGAGGCATCGCCCTGGACAGTGACCGAGAAAGTGCGGTTCGGCTCATCCGTGAAGAAGTCGGAGTGCGTCTCCGCGTAGTGCAACGTGCAATTATACATCCCCGGCACTTGCACGGGCAGCGAGTAGCCCCAAGTAGCGCCGTCCACACCGTACCGGTGCGACATGTAAGCGTCGTGGTTGTCCGGCTCCGCTCCGCCGACAGCCGCGTCCGACACCGCAAACGTCGCCGTCTCGCCGTCGCCGAACAGGTACTCGACGGGGTCTGCCTGGTACTTTCCGTTGTCCGTAGCGTTCCCGCCAATGTTGTACGCAAACTCGTACTCGCCGTCCTCCATCTCAGGCTCCGCGCTCATCATCGGTTCCTCGCTCATCTCCGGCTCCTCGCTCATCTCCGGCTCCTCGCTCATGTGCGGCTCCTCGGACGCGGCGAGGGCGTCCTCCAGCGTCTCAACCATGGCGGTCTCCAGCCCCGGGACGTCGGGCATCGGGCCGCGGCGCGGCACAGCCTGCGGCGCGGGCGGATGCGGCGCGGCGGACGCGAAGATGAACTGTCTCCCTGCGGCGGCGGCGGGCGCGTTCGCGGAGGCCGCGGAGGCCAGCGCGAGCGCGGCGAGGCAGACGAAAGGCTTGAGCATGGCGGTGGGAACGGGCGTGTGTGACGGGCGCACGGTGGGGGGGCGAGGCGGCACGTTCTTATCGCGCGGCGGGCGAAGGCACAACGAGCGTGGCCCGGACGGGCGCGGAAGGGACGGCGCGGCGGGTTCGCGCTGGTGTCAGGGGACGCGGGAGGGGATGGCCCTGTTTGGCGGTGCGGCCGCTCGGGCCGCGCGCGGACGCCAGGGGTGGGTTGCGGGCATGCGCCGATGCGTGGTTGCGGAAGGGCCGGATGTGGACAGGAGGGGCAATTCAGGCGGATGTGCAGAAGGTGGCGCAAGCGGCGGAGTTACAACGAGGGGTGGAGGCCTTCTTTACAGGTGCGCGGTGGCGCGGTGGCAGGTGCAGAAGTCGGGAGGACATGGCGGAGTGCACCCCCTGGTTATGCTGTCGTGGAGTTGGACTCCGGTGTTGATGGTGAGGACACTTGACCTTGTGTTACGAAGCTTTTTACACTGTTTCATCTCAGCTTGACTGCTCCTGAAATCATAAAATGCATATGCACCCTTTTACACAAAAATTGTGCAAAAAGGTGATTGTGTACTGTACTAGCGTCCTGAAAAGTTTTGTGTCAAAGCTCACCGCACTTTCTACACTGGGAGTATCCGAAAATCGCATTTTGCTTCGGTACCTATTTGCTCCAGACAAGACAATTTGATACTGCATGCCTGCGAAAATTCCGAGTAGCAAAGTGCGTTTATAGCAAATGCTCGTCAGCAGTATACGTACGAGCATGAGTCCCACAGTGCCTTCTTCTCTTCGCTATGCGCTCAAAATGTCCGTCTTCACGACAGCCCTTCTAGCATTACTCCTCAATAACCGTCGCAACCAGCAGATAGCATTTCGTCATCGCCTGTCTTTGGAGGGCCGGAGACGCCGCGACAGGCGCATGCGACGCAGAGCCCTTCAATCCCCTAGCCTTTCCACTTTCGCAGTTGTGCTCGGTTCGGGTTGCGAGCAGTCGCTTATAACCCTCACAGGTTTTGACAACCGTGCGTTTCAATTCTTACTAAGACTATTTGCGCCATTTTACTATGGATTCACGCCCTACTCGTCGGATGGAAACATTCGTCCTCTGCACTCTACAGTCAGTCTAGGGCGTCCCCGGAGCATGTCTGCTGCTCATTGTTTAGGATTGATCCTGACTTGGCACCGAACAAGAGGTGCTGAGTTCGTTCTTTGTCTGATGTTTGAAATCACAGGCTCGGTGTGTTCTGTTTTTATCCGTTTCGGTCGTCGAATTCTTCTAAAAGTACTTAAAGAAAACGCTATGGCCAGGATCACAATGCCGACGGCCACAGACGTTGAACGCTTCCAGACGGCGTTTAGGACAAAGTACTCTATGTTGAAGGACGTTCATTGTGTGGCAGATGGCCTCAAATTGTACTTGGAACAGTCGGGTGACTACATTATACAGAACATGTTTTATAATGGATGGAAGCATGATCACTACGTCTCAAATGTTTTCGTCTTCTCTCCAGATGGTGCAGTTATTGCTTGTGCAATAAATGCCCCCGGGTCAATGCACGACTCCACAGTAGCTGAATGGGGAAAAATATACAACAAGCTCAAAGAAGCTTTCGATGAGCACGGAGGGCAATGTGTAGTCGACTCAGCATTGTCAAGGACCCACTATCCATTTTTAATTAAGTCCGCACAAGACTGCGTTGTCGGAAGCGATGGGACCATCGAATCCATCATGACACTCAGACAGGCAACGTCCGCCCGTCAAGCATCAGAATGGGGTATGAGGGCATTTCAAGGGACCTTTCCGAGGCTCAAAGACCGATTTATTTACGAAGAAAGAGGTGAGCGAAAAGTTGTACTCATGTGCATGGTGCTCCTATACAACTTGCGGTCTCGGCTAGTCGGCATCAATCAAATACTACATTCATATATGCTTCACTTGAGCGTGGAGGCAAACCACATCTTGCAAAACTAGATCCATATTCACACTAGCTGTCCTTCGTTTTTGTGTTCTGGGTGATTAAATCACTAGCACCCTTACCGAGAAAAGCTAGCATAAGCATATTAGTCATCCGCTCGCTACGCTCCCTTTCTTCCGCTCTGCGTTCGCGCTCGTCGGCGCGTTCTTGCTCACGGATTCTGCGCTCCTCTTCCCTACGCTCACGCTCCTCACTCCGATCGATAAGGCGCTGCTTGTACTCAGCATCGCGATTTATCTGATCTTGAACCATGCATGCCTTAACAGTTCTCATGAGACTGTCTTCATCAGTCGCCGATTTTTTGACCGCCCCATGCTTTCTGACAAGCGGTCTTGGAGACACCAACTCCACAGCGCTGTCGCGACGAGATATGTCATTGCTGGCAGCGTCGTCTTCAAGAGGAGATGGTGACGGGTCTGGCGTTGGCGCTCCCGAGGGAGCACTTAGCGAGCCTGAATGCGATGCTGAAAACGGAAGAGTGTCGCCCAACTCGTTAGTGTACTGATCATCTGATTCCTCCCCGTCCCCTAGATCAGCCCTCTCCGTCATCTCCTTTCTTATCTCCTTGGCTTTCAGAACATCCCGGGGAATACTGGGGTCCCCAGTGGGAGGTACTGTACGACAAAGAGCAGAAAACTTCCTGCTCAAAGAGTCAGGATTTCTCCCCTGCTGAGGATAGCGGAGTTCATGCAGTCGTGCTATTTTCTCCCATTCGTCCTTGCAGAGTGGCAGGTGCTCCAGCAGCAGCTCCAACAGGCTGTCCGTCTCTCCCTGTGAAAACCCACTTCCCCGTTTCCCTCCCCGTTTTGCCTTCTTTATTCCATTTTCATTGCGCCTCCGTTTAGTCACTAGGCGTCTCGGGGGCAGCCTTTGTGACCCCCTAACATTTCTGAGAGAATTGGGCGGTGCCAGCGATGATGTGTCGCTTGCTCGTGGCTCCGCGGTAGGCAGGGAAGCTGAAGCTTCCGGAACAGGGCTCGAATCGAAAACGGACGGTACTTCACCAACCCTTCGGTAGGGCGCAGGGGAAGGAGTATAAGAGGAGGAAGGGGGGAAGGCATTACCGTCTTCAGTGCTTTCCGGGAACACCTCAGAGGGATGGAGCATGGATGGGCTGCGGTCCAGTTCGGTAGATGGGGCAGGACGCGGCTCGAGCAGCTGGGGATGATCATCAGCAAGGCCACGTTGCGGTGTGCGATCGTGCGATGTGGTGGGGTTTCTGTCGTCAATTTCTAATAAACCGGAAGGACGCTGTGATGGATTCATGTCACGCAAGAAGCGCAAAAAGGGTTGGGCAGAGAGGCGAGTCGCAGATAAGCAAGAAATGAATGGGGACAGAGCGGGGTAGGACTGGGCGAAGAGGCTAGCAGCATACAAGCGAGCAGGAGAGAAGCCAGTGGCAGAGAGGCGCGTAACGGAGAAGGACGGAGCGAAGGAGGGCGTATCGGAGGTCAGCGGAGCAGAAGAGGGCGTAGCAGAGTACAGCGGAGCGAAGAAGGGCGGAGCGGAGTATAGCGGAGCAGAGCAGCGAAGGATGAGGAGTCAGGAAGCCACGCAAGAAGCGCAGTGAGCAAGTTTCGAGCAGGATCAAGCTGACGCGATGGGTCGTCTGCGTCTGGTGCGTGTAACGGCTAGAGACGTTTTGGCGCCAGAAAAGCGATTAGGTACGGGTGTCGCCTGGCTCTGAGGGGCTCCCCCCCTCAGACAAGAGCCGGGTTTGATATGACACAAACGGCTGCAGCGGGGTGTCTTTATCACAAAAAGGGGGCTCGCAAATTGTGATTTGTTATTTTCGGAGGCTCCCACTATCCCGTTGTGTACCCGTAGGGTACTCCATTGGCAGTCCCATGAGCCCGAATCTAACTCCTTAGTGTAGGACGACCGCGAATTCCCAGAACCACA